CTCATGGAGCCAGTGTCTGAGCTGATGCCTTCTATTAGATGCCACGGTTTGTGTGTGAACTGATGCAATCTGTTAGAATCGTACTCTAGAGAATCAACTGCAGGAAATGTCACCGGAAAATCAGCTCTCTAGGGCATCGTTTGGATCTAAAACTGTGCAGGCTTGTTAGTAAATCAGTATTCACTCTTACTCTCGGGTAGCTCATAAATCTATTTTGTATCTATCTTTGAGAAAGATAAATTGTTGTTTGATGGAGCAGAGCTGCTGATCCTGCTCACAATTGAAGGCCCACACTGGTACCCAGCAAAAAACCAACTTGTATTCAGAGTGGGTGTACCCATTGTAAAAGTTCCTGTGTGATCATAAATACAGGGGCTAATCCTTCAGGATGACAGCATACCCGGATAGATGGAGCTGATTTTCAACAGAACTCCCACTCTGATGGAACAGTCACAAATGCCACCCGCAGAGGAAACCATGGAATTTGAGGTCTTTCGATTTGGTTCTTATTGAAGACATTTACCATTTTGTTAATACTATAGAAAATGGTAGTAAAAATCTACGAGGAGTTCAAATAAAAAAAAGTGTCTTCGTACCATCTGAATTTACTTTTACACTGCAGAGCACCTGCAAAGCATTTTTCACGTTGAAAGTGAAGCATGGCATGTGCTATGTGTGGAGGTTTGCCATCAGAGGAGAAAACCGTTGATGTTCAAACTTTTAAACGTTTTGTGGTTTCTCTTCACTAGTCAGTTACTATTCATACTGTGTTGCCAGGGAAAGGTTGCCTTTGCACAGGTTCATTTAGTCTGGCACACAGCCAAGGCTTTTACAGAAATAGCATTGATTCATAACGAACAGCCATAAAGGTGGGGCAATGGATTTTAAATAATCCAGGAATAGAAGCTGCTAATTGGACAGTTCAAACATTTTCAGTCTTGAATACATACAGTGCTGTATTTGTCAAACACTATAACTAACAATTTCATTTACTGCTTTCCAGCTGAAACTACCGAGTGTCCAAATGATTTTACAGCCAATTATTTATTCCAACTACTGTAGATTAATATTAACCATGTACCTGCAGTATCGAGCTCTTAGGAGCAATGAGGAGAAAACTTGTGTAGTACAATAACAAGAAAATCGATAAGAGATTACTGTACAACTTTTGTGCTGGGAACCCAGATGTACATTTTAACATTAATATTGCTGAAAGATAGCATTCAATTTAGGACAAGTTGTCTTACACTTTCTACTTCCCCATCTCACTCATTTTCAATGGTTAAACTAACAGGAACTCAGTACTCCAGTCACCCTAGCACACATGGGTACGTCACGAATACGATTTCTGTATGATTCAGCTCCTTATTTATAGTGTGAGGTAACATAAGAGTGCTTAGTAGGCAGACAGTTATCACTAGCCTTGATCGCCTTGGAGTGAAATTAATTGCTTGAAATACTGTAGGATCAGATAACAGAGTACTTAGCGTTTGGCATTTCAGGAAGAATCTCAGGGATACCATATCTTTTATAGCAACTCCTCTGCCCCCTCTATCAAGATAAAAAAAAGCAAAAGGGGCAAAGCACACTTATTATTGTGAATCGAACCCCAAGTACTGAAGATAAAACAAAACACTACCTGCTGAAACAGGCATGTGTGAGAGAGCCTGGCTACAGTTCTCAGAGTAAAGTCTGACAATAGGCTCATGCATGCAGATTTGGACACAGGAGAACAAAAAAACCTTTCCCATAAACTCTTTAGAAATGCATTATTTGGTGTTAACCAACAATTGGTTACAAATTGCTGAACTCATTGGTAGAGGCTACAACCCTATAATCAGTTCAAGACGGCTATAAATTTCAAACAAAAATGCAACACCCTGAATGGAACCAATATATAAAGCAGAAAATATGTAAAATAGTAATGGAACTCACAAAGACACTACACATCCTTATCAAACATATCATCTTCTTAAGTGAGCCAGGTACCAAGATCAAAAGAATATATTATAGTGCTTGTTTGAGCACTACAGCAGACATTTATAGTTTAACAGTGGGAGGGGGAGAGAAAAAGGAGAAAAGTAAGAAAAGGGAAATGATCGAGGATAAAAAACAAAGATGCAACTCAAAAATCACCATCTCGTAGGTTGCATGTGGCCAGCAAAAGTCCAAATCACGCTCCGCTTAATTTAATTCCTTATTTGTTGCAAAGCTTGCCAACTCTTACCATGCTCAAATGAAATGGCCAGAGGCTAATAGGGCCTGGAAAACTGGTCAGAATTTAAAAATAAAGAAACGTTTACACCAGAAGTACTCTGGAAACAAGGGGTTCTCTTCTGTAAGGTTGTTGAAAAGCTCCTTGTAATGAATTGTTCCCTAGAGAGCCATCAATAAGTCTTTCACTGGCAGGCAAGACAACCGTAAGGTAGTTAATGCTCCATGCACACTTACACATAATTGGATTCTTACATTGCTATTCTATTTCTCTCCAGGGCTCAAAGGGGAGTTGACAGATTTAGTTCTGGCCATATGGTTCAATAAAGGAAACAAACTATGACAAGTCCAGTTGATCCAATGATTATATAAGTTGCTACACGGCTGACAATAGAGTTACAAAGATATGATAATTTTCACGTTGAAAAAATAAATTCACACGTTTTGCACTTTAATTTTAGATTCATTTCACTCACTTTTCAGTATATTCTGTGAAGGATTTGGGACGTCTCAAGGATGTGATAAGGTGCTGTATCAAATGCAAGGATTATTATTAACTGATATTGGCAACAGAGCAAGACAAAACATTACCGCCAAGAGGTTAGACACCTTTCAGTCTGGGGTTTGTTTTTATTTGAGAAGATTGATTTGGGGGTCTGACACACAGAAACCCAGTGGCCAAAATACACAAAAATTCAGACCCATACTTAAGAGAACCCAAACTAGACCAAGGAGTTCCACGTATAGTACGTGTGTACATTTCAGTCTCTCTAGTGTGGAGTGCACACCTCTATAGGGACACACACTACTTACCCAATGCCTGAAAGTTTAGACACAGGTTGGTAAGTGCCAAGACATAGCGACTCCATAACATGCATCAGAGGACTTTCGAGTTTTAACCAGCTAAACCACATAGCTTATCACTGTTAACACTATGCTTCCGACTGCTTGCCAGCTAGAACCACTCAACCGATCAAGCCTTTGGTTTGCAAAAGTAGGAGAAATCCCTGCCTCCAGCTGACCGACAAATTAATTTTTTCTCTGAAGTAATGGACCTGACCCTTAGACTGATATAGAGTGGTTTCTTTCTTGGGACAGCAAGTAAAACAGGCCAATCATTCTAGGTATGTGTATATTATAGGACATCCTCCTGACGTGAAAGGCGCTATACAAATGTAATTTTGTATTGTATAATAACCTGTTCCACATCAGAACTCAAACAAAACTCCATCAAATAAGATGGTTGCACAAGGCTAGTCATTTAAATAGTCACGCTGGGGGTGTTTTATTTACCTTCACATTCTGGAGCAGTCTTTATCAACAAGTGTAGAAATACATACATTTCACTCCAGCCAAACGCGTTCATCCACTATGCTGCTGACAGCCAAACCAGTCGTGCTTCTTGTAATCTTGTAGACACTGGGTATCAATTAACTAAATTAAACTGGAGGCAAGTATAACCAGTATACAATCTAAATAGGATTTAAATTGCATAGTCATCCTTCAGTCTGCCTGCACTTCGGTGGCAGGATCAACGTAAATCACGTTTGAGATAAAACACGATTGAACTGTACTGAGCAAAGGCTTTGACAAAGCAATCCAAATTAAAAACACATGGCTCCAATGGGCAAATTACCCATTTGTTGTTGGGCACAAAATTAAATGTTAGGAAGAGGGACTGCTATTGCCCACAACCAGATTGTAAACAGCTTATTCTCAAACCCCTGGGGATAAACAGCCTGAACCTATAACGTGGTAGATTAAACTCAGATCCTGTTAGAATGGGACACAGCATAAAAATGGCATTATAGGAAAGGATAATCACCACACAAGTCAACCTGAACTTATAAATCAGTCTGAGGTCTTATCTGCCTGTTTAAGTGGATGTTAAAGATCCCATGGCACTATTGGAAAAGAGGAGTTTGTCTTGGTTATTCACTTCCTGACCGTTGATGGATTATTGCTATCTGTAAATTGTTGCTGCATTTTCCTACAAACTACAGTTATGATACTTCACAGTAAAAATCCTGTAAAGTGCTTTGAAATGTTTGATGCTGTGATAAGGTGCTATATCAGATGCAAGGATTTATCCTGCAGGAAGGTCAATGCTCAACCACATTTTGTACACAATTACTGTCGTCATTAGAGGCACTTCAAAAATATCTCATTCTTCATATAAAAAAATGACTCGTTTCTGAGGACAGAGTGTTCTCAGAGAGCTATACAAACAAAGCCAGACAGACAAGAAATTGCCATAAAAGGCGACATTTAGAAGTTTCTGAATTGGAAAGACAAGTTGTGCATATGAAAAAAAGCCATTCTGAATAGCAGATGGCATGCAGCACAAACCCAACCTGTACAACAACAAAGAAAGCACTCCATCACTTGAGCTCCATCTAGCTAACAGCTAGAACGTTCGAAAGTAGCCTTCAGTCTAACTTTTAGGTACTTTGGTGCATTTCTTGGGAGAGAAAATTAGGTTTTAGAAGTGGCTCACATCAGCAACTGACCCATACAAGTCAATAAGAGCCGTTGATCTCCTTGGTAACTTGCATGTTAATCCATTGTGCATTGCAAGGCTACTTGAGACTTCCAGACTAAACACTAAATTAAGAGTCAACCAACTGCTGGTTTCTTCGTAGTTTTCCTGGTTACCCATCACCTTTTTATATAGCCCAGGATTACCAAGAAGCTTTAAAGAACTGACCTTTGTACACACGTAGCATTTATAACACTAAATTAGTGAAGTCGGATTTAGAATACTTTATTTCATTGATTGTACTTACCTCTAAAAGGTCATCAATGCACTGGAAAAGGTCAAAGAACTGGAGACCAGAAATTAGTTAAATTCCAAATAAAATCTGTAGAACTAAATCTGCTTTTCTCAGATCTGAGATGTAGAAATAATCTGCACCCAGACAATGCATAATTTTAATGCAATCTATATATTGCATCCAATTTTGTTAAAAAAATGTTGAATTTCACAATATTAAGATACCTCATTTAGGTCAGGTGTCAAAACCAGACACAAAAAAAATATACCACCCTGAACATTGAAACCAGCTCCACATATGCATACCACCCAAACATAGAATTATAATAGAATGTCCTCTGTAACCAACTATTTTTAAAAGGAATCTACAAATTCCAGCTGAAACTTAGGCATCACAAAGCCTGTGTGGCATGATTTCCCACAAGTATACAAACTATAAACTCAGACTGCCTGAATAAAGTTATTGCAGTCTCTTATGAGGGAAAATATAATCTCTCAAGCAGTATTTTTTCCAATTTGTAATAACTGAAGTTAGACAAAACACTGTTTATAGTCCAGAGTGCAAATTTAGTTATTCACAAGGGTTTTACCACATTAATAATGTGGTTTCAGACCATGATTGTTTAAATATTTGTGTAAAAGTGTCAGATGAGTTTGGAGAACATTATACCCAATCTCGTGGCTGAGGAAAGAACACATGGCATGCAGGAGGGGAAGGGAAGAATAGGAAATGAATATAAAAACACACATTTATTCATCAGGCCTAAATCAAAATGGCACAAGCTGAAACTTTAGGATAGCCACCTCATATTTCACTATGGAAGAGGGCTCCCCAGAGCAAGTAGGGAAAATAAATCAAGAAAATATATATATGTAGTAGTAACCATTTGAGAGCAGATTGCTCATATTGTCCTCGTCAGGATTTCATGTATTGTATTGGGAAATGACACAGAAAGGAAGGAACAATACTAAGCATTTTCATTAAAGATCCCATGGGACTCTGAAAAGTGAAGGGAGTTTCTCCCAGTTCCCTTGGCAATAAACCCCCAATAAAACTTTGTGGCTGTTTGTGGAACATTGCTGTGCGGAAATTGGCTGCTGCGCTCGCTCTCAAAACAGTCACTACCACTAGACTTCAGCTCATAGTCCATCGCATTTTATAAAAACACTCGTGGGGTTTTTCACTAGGGATTTCCTCCTGATATCTATCAAACAAATCTAAGGAACAAGAGAAAGGGTTAAGAGTTTCTGTAGCCATTTCTTCTAGATTCATTCTAGAAGACGTGGCAGGAAGATAGATCTATGTCAACTAACTTCATAGATCCCCATATTCAGCAGTCAGTCCTTATATGGAAACACATTTTGAACACATCAGCCATTGTTCCACACAATGTCACAGCCATTCATTAGGCAATATAGGTTCAGGGGGTCACAATGCAATCCCTCTATGACCTGACATTTTGTTACACAGGAGTGTTGCTCGGCTCACACAAACAACCGGGAATAGTACCTCAGGGTGTTTGAGCGCTGGACACTGTGTCCAAAAGCAGCATGGACCACAACTTATTTTGACAATGCAAAGCTGCCCGTTGATCAGCAGCTGGAGCTTGCATGCTGCAATCGGTCAATCGCTTGACAGCCATCATAATTGACTCCAATCAAAATGAAAAATGCCAGGGTTCCAGAACCCAGAACACACGATCACAATCTACTTGTGTGCAATATGTTCGTATAACGTAGGATGGAGCAGGACACAAGCATAATGAGATTAGATGTTTCACACAATTGACCCTGGCTGGTCTCTGAGAGCAAGAGAAGCTCTGAGAGTTTGCCCAGGAGCACAGACGTACTGCCGTGCTCCTCCGCGCTTTGAAATGCAACCTTCAATGAATCTGGTTCAACAGGTGCTGGTGAATTCTGTGCTGCAAGTTCTGCACAGAGATTGTACTCCAAGCACTGAAAATGCCATTCAGGAGGAGACAGCAGATGCAGGAGAGGTAAAAATTATTTTAAGTTCTGTTCTTTTCCTTCAAAAGAAAAGTACAAAAGAAACATGCCAAGGTTTTGAATCCCAGGCAGAGCGAAACTTTAGGCAAGTTTCCTTACTCCACAAAGCTCAGTCTACCTCGCAGTAAGTAGAAACCTGGTTGTTAGTTTGTTTGCGGATTTCTTTCCAGGGGTAAAAATCCCTTAAAAAAAAATGTGTGGTAACTCAATCCACGACTATTTGTGGGACACTGCTGTGCACATTTGTCTGCTGCGTTTCACCCACAAAATACACAGTCAATCCATTTTATAGTGTATTCTGTGAAGCATTTTGAGACTTCTCAACGACGTGATGATACCGCAATATCAAATGCAAGGATTATTATTGTTATTATTATTATTTACAGTTTCGCCCACAAAATATACAGTCAATTCACGTTACAGTATAATTCTGTGAAGCGCTTTGAGACGTCTCGAAGACGTGATAAGGCCCTGTATCCTTGTGTATCAAATTGCAAGGATTATTATTATTATCCGATGAAGCGCTTTCCGATGTCCTTCAAACGTGAAAGCCACTACATTTTTGGGGGGATCAGTTGGGTGTTTGACACATGCGGAAACCCATCAACTTCCGTCCACGGGTCTGGAATGGAACGCGCGCTCTCTCCCGGGAGGGACTCCGCCGATTTACCTAACTTACCTGCAGAGTATTGGGCGCCGGTTGTGGAATCGTGTGGTGCGTTGCGGAGTCCGGGAGCGTATTGGGTACAGAGCGCTCGCCTCGGAAGAGAGGACCTGGGCTTGATTCCCGGGATGTTAAGCAAGGTTGGCTCCTCCTCCTTCACAGATTAGCTCCTCCCCGTGGATTAGCTCCTCACCACTGATTGACCCCCTCCCCATAGATTGACCCTCCCCTCCCTGTAGACTGCCCCCCACCCATAGACTGCCCCCCACCCATAGACTGCCCCCCACCCACAGACTGCCCCCCACCCACAGACTGCCCCCCACCCATAGACTGCCCCCACCCATAGATTGCCCCCCACCCTTAGACTGCCCCCCACCCATAGACTGCCCCCCACCCATAGACTGCCCCCCACCCATAGATTGCCCCCCACCCATAATTGCCCCCCACTCATAGACTGATCCCCTCCCCACAGATTGACTCCCTCCCCCGTAGACTGGCCCCTCCCCCGTAGACTGGCCCCTCCCCCGTAGATTGGCCCCTCCCCCCGTAGGTTGGCTCCTCCCCCCGTAGATTGGCCCCTCCTCCCCCGTGGCGCGGGGCGGGGCGGGTGGTGCGTGGGCGGGGCGCGTTGCATTGTGGGGGCGGCGGCGGCCTCCACCAATATGGCGTCAGTCTGAGCGCTGACGGAGGGGAGGAGTGTGTGTGAGGCGGAGCCGAGGAGGGGACAGGGGCGGGGGGGGGAGAGGGAGAGGGCGAGGGAGGCGGACAAGTGCCGGGAGGCGGGCAGCAGCAGCGGCGGCCGGATCCGCACCTGCAAACTGTGACCGTTTGCCGGAGGGGGCGGGAAGCGGCGGCGGCGTCGAGGAGGAGGAGGAGGAGCGCGAGACATGGCGGCGGCGTGAGGCGTGAGGAGCGGGAGGCGGCGGCGGCGGCGGCGACAGCAGCAGCGGCGCGCGCGCTGGCGGTGTGTTGGCGCCGGCCCTCGGGAGCCATGGCGGCGGCGGCGGCAGCGGCGGCGGCGGCAGCAGCGGCGGCCGCGGACTCGGCCCAGTGGCTGTCCGTCAAGGAGGAGACGCTCTTCCTGCACGACGGTCTGATCCGAGTCACGGACCTGGTGGAGCTGCCAACCGAGATCGGGGCTTCGGCCGAGGCCGGCGAGAGCGAACAGGAGGTGAGGCCGCCCCCAACCCCCACTACCCCCCCCCCACACACACACACCCTCCGCCCCCTCCTCAGGGTGGTGTGTGGGTGTGTGTGTGGGTGTGTGTGCGGGGTGGTGTGGGTGTGTGGGGGGGAGGGGGAGTTATGTTAGCCGAGATACGGCGGGGGGTGGGGGGGAGAGAGAGAGAAGCAGCTCATCGGGTGGGTGGGGGGGGATTAATTGAGGCCGTGGATTTGGCCTGGTCCCCGGGGGAGTTATGCGCCAACCCAAGTGCTAAATACACAGCGACTGTTAATGTACATCCAAACTCCTGCCAGAGGCCGGAGACAGCCCACCCACCCCCCCACTGCCCCCCCCCTACTACCCCCACACCCCCACACCACTGCCCCCACTCCCCCCCCCCCCACACACACACACACAGCCCAAGGGGTGTGCAGCAAAGTGCAGAAAGCGGGGGAGCTGTCAGACCCGGTGGGGGTTGTGGTTGGGGTAGAGTAGGGCAGTGCCCGAGCAAAGCCCCAAATAACTAATGCACGTTTTGGGGATCAGGAGAGAAGATTCCGCTGAGGGGGGGGGAGAGAAAAAGAGAGGGGGGAGAGAAAAAGAGAGTGGGAGAGAAAAGAGAGGTGGGGGGGGGGGGGGGGGGGAGAGAGGGATCAGGGGCTGTGGTGAGAGGATGGGAGAGGAGGATACATTATAATATATTATAATGTACATATATTATAATGTACATTATAATATACATATAATGTAATACCGCCCCCCCCCCCGCCCCACACAGAAAAATATACGGTATCTCTACATAACGGTGAAATAGCCGGACATCAGAGGGTTTCAATCCCATTCTCTGGGAATAGAAATGAGGGTGTGGGGGTGTGAAAGTCATCCAGATGGGTAGATAGATGTGTGTGTGTTTGTGTGAAAGCCATCTAAAAATGTTATGGACTATTTCTGTGGAAATCGGAGGGTTTTCAGTGAAGCCGAGTCCCTGTCGGGTGGGGTGAGGACTCGGAATAAAATAATAAATAAGTATGTCATAGCGATCGATAGGTACTGGTGTGTGTGTGTCTGTATGTATGAAGAGAGAGAGAGAGAGAGCGAGCTACAGGGGCATAACAAGAATATCCACTCCAGGAAGGAGATTGGGAATGTCACAGGAGGATAGCAATGAAAATCAACCTATTTCTGTAAAGCCAAGTGCAAGGAGAAGCAGCCCAGGGAA